CTCTTGCTGGCTGCCGGCCACTCACGCTGGCTGCCAGGCACACATGGTAGCTCATGGCAGCCCACTGCAGCCCTGCTGCAGCCTATGCGGTCACCAGCAACTCATGGCAGCGTAGCTCCAGGTCGAGCTGTTGTTCACCATCCTAGCTGTAGAGGGTGCAGCGTCACTGGCCCTCATGTGGGATCCAAACCGGTGCCCTGTTGCTCAGAGCACGCACTCCCAAGCCAACTCTTAACCAACGCACCACTCAGCTGGCCCCTGTTTTGTTTTTAATTATTGTTAACTTTATTTTTATCCAGATGATAATCAAGTGGGTATTTTTCTGAAATTTGAGGCTAAAGATCTGTACGTGACATATTTTTCCAGCAGCAGTTTAAAATGGAAACTATTACTGAGGCATTATTCCAAGGCTATGAACTTTCTATTATAGTTTAATAATGTAATTGAATTTTCATGTTTTACAATTAGGTTTCTGTCACAACAAGATTATTGATTTCCCATTTAAGTGGAATTCGTCATTATGAAAAGGACATGAAAAAGGTGAAAGAAGAGAAAGCTTATAAAGCCTTGAAGATGATGAAAGAGACGATGGAATCCGACCAAGAAAAAGAGTTAAAAGAAAAAGGAGGCAAAAGTAATGAAAAGAATGACTTTGCTAAAGCCAAGATAGAACAGGATAATGAAGCCAAAGGCCGGAATTCAAAACCTGTCAAGAAAAAAAATGATTTTGAACAAGGAGAATTATATTTGAGAGAAAAGTTTGAAAATTCAATTGAATCCCTAAGATTATTTAAAAATGATCCTTTGTTCTTTAAACCTGGTGAGTGTTAATTCCTTCTCTTAACAAAGTCATCATTACTGAAGTGTTATTTTTAGAAAATTAGAAATGATACCATCCTGATTGCATTTAATGTAGCTGATGATTATAGCATGGATTTTGCTGTCAGTCCAGTGCTTGCCTTTTGTCTGTATTTTTGAATAGTTAAGAGCTTAACATGTAGTTCCTGCCTAGCATCTAGGCAGTTAGTTGTTTAGATTTAGCCTCATGGAGGCGTCCCATTTAGTGGATTCTAAATATCAAGATATTTGAGGAAACATTATGGAGAAATGTTGGAATAATAGTTCTCCAAATAAAATTTGGACCAAAGTGGACATGATAAAGTATTGCTAGTATTTTACTATTTAGTTAGAATTTGAATTGCTCAAATTATTTTGTGCCTTCATTCCTTAAAGAAATTAGTGTTCATGAGCTTAATTTTATTTCCCAAAGAGCTAATCTATAAAAATAACTATCTTTGGTTTTGTATATTTTTTGGTATGATGCCTATTGAAACCACTTAATAGCTTTACGTATCATAGGTTTATTTACTTTCCATTTCATTTTGAAAGTTGTCTTTACCATGAATAAATATTATATAGGTATAACTAATAAGGGCAAAGAAATATAATTATAGATTTTGTCTTAAAAAATAAGGTTCTCAACCATTGTTAGTATAAATGATACAATGTACATTTCTAGAATCCAAAATGAGATAAAGGTATATATTTGAAACAGTACATATATTTGAATATGTATTGGTACTTTAATATGTATTTGAAATGTTTTTATTTCTACATATATTTTATTAAAATAACTTATACAACTATTTATGCCTTAAACAATGGATAGTAAGTATGTTAAGAACAAGACAGTTGACTCAAGAATCCAAATTTGCTTTTCTTTCTCTTCCTATTTTGGCCAGTTTGAAGGATTTTTGTGATGTTTGAGGTAGGATTTATTTATTTCATTTTCATAGAAAGGAGTCGATTCATGTGAAATTTTAAGTATGTTGTTCATCATTTTATTCTTGTGTTAGGGACATGGAATAAGCAAGGCCATTGCAAAGCTGACCAAATTTAATATATCATCCATGATGTTTTATAAATGCCGAAGTAAAATATTACAGTTTTAAGGTATACCAATTTTCAGTGGGAAAATATTTTACATATTTTTCAATAATAATGAATCATTTTCTTTTTTTTCCTCTATGCAATGATGCCTCAAGGTAGTCAGTTTTTGTATTCAACTTTTGGCTATTCCTTGCTGGCAGCCATAGTTGAAAGAGCTTCAGGATATAAGTATCTGGACTATATGCAGAAAATATTCCATGACTTGGATATGCTGACAACTGTGCAGGAAGAAAATGAACCAGTGATTTACAATAGAGCAAGGTAAATGAACACCTTTGGTGTGTCTAGCTATATTACATCTTAATAATATGTTATCAATTGAAAGTCAGATTTTCCTTGTCTCCTTTCCAAAATCAACTTGCCACATTTTGGGAGATTTTCTACATGTATGTTTTTCCATCTATAAAGTGAGGGAAACAAAATATATTTGTAAAGTACCCCCCCAAGATCCTTAGATGAAATGCAGCAATAATAATTTAAACACATGAGTAAATTAAATCAAAATTGCACCCATCGTGGGCATCTATAATTTATTCTTCAATCATCCCTTTTATTATATGTTTTATAAGCTAAAGCTTTCTTTGTTTACTTTTTTATTATGTTTTAATTGTTTTAACATTTATTTCAAAATGATTTCATATTTATAG